TTGCTCAAGCAGGAGACCCTATGCCATTCGACAAGTGGATGTCCATAAAAGCCTCCAGTGATGGAGCAACCACAACTTCTGAAGCAATGGTGAAATCCAAATTTTTTTTACTATTGGTTCTGTGGACGTGGCTTGGTGGGCATGGCTTGGTGGGTGTGGCAGGGGAAGGATACTGCAAAATCCCCACTCCCTCCTCACTCCTGGGGGAAGGATATTGCAAAATCTCCATTCCCACCCCACTCTGGGGCCAGACAGAGGTGGTATTTGCCAGTTCTCCGAACTACTCAAAATTTCTGCTACCAGTTCTCCAGAACCTGTCAGAACCTGCTGGATTTCACCCCTGTTCTGAAGGCAAACCGTTCCACGGGTTAATTGTTCTCACTGTTAGGAAATTTCTCCTTAGTTCTAGGTTGCTTCTCTCCTTGATTGGTTTCCATCCATTCTTTTGTTCTGCTTTCAGGTGCTTTGGAAAATAGGTTGACCCCCTCTTCTTTGTGGCAGCCCCTCAAATATTGAAAGGCCGCTATCATCCATAATGCTTTTTTTCACCAGACTAGACATACACATATGTTTACTTAATTTCCTGTTTGCACCATGACAACTCTATTACAGATAGCTGCGGAGACTGTTTTGAGCCCCGACTCTCTCCTGAGTGCGTGAAGTTTGGCTGGGCAGTATTTTGTTGACAACACACCAGAGTAAAACTGATGAACTGTACTTCTAGCATTTTGGTAAGTGCTGCATCTTTGGACAAGCGAATGTAAACCAAAAGAAGCTGACAGGTGTATTACATGTATTCACCTAAGTCTTCAGGGGTTCAAATAATTCAGTATAAAACTGAATTCTGAAAACTGAATAGGGCACGGTGGCTCAGTGGCTAGGACGCTGAGCTTGTCGATCGAAAGGTCAGCAGTTCAGCGGTTCATATCCCTAGTGCCGCATAACGGGGTGAGATCCCGTTATTTGTCCCAACTTCTGCCAACCTAGCAGTTCGAAAGCACGTAAAAAATGCAAGTAGAAAAATAGGGACCACCTTTGGTGGGAAGGGAACAGCGTTCCGTGCGCCTTTGGCATTGAGTCATGCCGGCCACATGACCACGGAGACGTCTTCGGACAGAGCTGGCTCTTCGGCTTTGAAACGGAGATGAGCATCACCTCCTAAAGTCGGGAACGACTAGCACGTATGTGTGAGGGGAACCTTTACCTTTAAGTCTTCAGGGGTTCAAATAATTCAGTATAAAACTGAATTCAGCTACAAGAGGGTTTTTGATTTGAAAAGGGGGGCAAAGCAAAAGAGTAAGGGAGTGTAATAAATGCAACACCGAATCCCAATAGAGTACAATCTAATTAAATACAGGTAGTCCTCGACTTAACAACAGTTCATTTCGTGACCATTCAAAGTTACAAGAGCGCTGAAAAAAGTGACTTATGACCATTTTTCACACTTCACGACTGTCACGGCATCCCCTTGCTCACAAGATCAAAATTCAGATGCTTGGCAACTGGCATGCATTTATGATGGTTGCAGTCATGCAATCACCTTTTCTGACCTTCTGACAAGTCAATAGGGAATCCAGATTCATTTAACAATCATGTTACTAACTTAACAAATGCAATGACTCACTTAACAGCTGTGTGGCAAGAAAAGTTGTAAAAAGGGGCAAAATTCAGTTAATGTTTCATTTCGCAACATAAATTTGGGGCTGAATTGTGGTCATAACTTGAGGACTATCTGTAGCTGGAGAGAACGTGGATTAAAAAAACTATATAGTTATATATTTACAAATATACTTAAATGTAATTTATGGCAGAGATGATAAATCCAAATTCCTGCTCTTTCTTCTGTTCTCTCCCAATAGCAATCATCTCCCAGTTTTTAATGGTCTGGCCTAACCTCCCTTTTTAATTGTTTTTAAATTGGTTTTATAACTGGGGTGTTTTAAATCTGGCCAAAGTATTTAATATATTTTAAATGGTTTTTAACGTTTGTATTATGTATATTTTACTTTCTGACTGTTCACCGCCCTGAGTCCTTCGGGAGTAGGGCGGTATATAAATTTAATTATAAATAAATAAAAATAAATAAATAATGAAATTGGAGAAATAACTCTTTATCAAAAAGGCTGAACACTACTTTTCTGGACAAAACAGTAACCACAAGATTAACATCAACATCTCTTTATTCAGCATTTATTCAGTTTTATGAAACACATTTTGAAAATGTGTTTGAAGCAACAGTGAACCCATCATTTCTGCAATTCTATTTTGGGATTCCAGGATTCCTTTTCCGAGGCAGATTTGAAAATACAGGTGATCAAACTTGAACTCAGTTCCCTCAGGGCCACTTTTCCTGCCCCCTTATTTTACTTCTGAAGTTGCATCATAAAAATAAATTTTGCCTGAAATTTATCTCTTTAGGTATTTACCGTAGTAGTTCTATTGCAATTTGAGTATTCCATGCCCTGAGCCTATGGTAAATGTTCCTGGTCGAAATGCTAGAATTCCCCAGACAGCCATGCAAATCTTGAAAAGTGGTAAAAATTGCAGGAAAAAAGGTATAAGAATTGCATCCTCCAGTTCTATGGCAGGAGACCACTTTCTCAACCTAGTACAATCCATGTGTGACTACAATGCTCACAATGTATTTGCTCCTGAGAAATTCTATAATGCATATTTCAGTATGTTTGCAGAGCTCTGAATTTAAGAGTGGGCATCTGACATTTCACCCTCTAACTTCCAAGGCAATCTCCCTAAACCCATAGTGTCCGACATCAAAAACTCTAACATGGGCAGATCCAGATTCATCTAAATATCTAAATATAATTATTATCAATATTTACCAATACCATGTTTTCCTCAAAATAAGACCCTCTCTTATATTTTTTTGAACCCCGAAATAAGTGTTTGGCCTTATTTTCAGGGAGGTCTTATTTTGGGGTGCGTGGAACAAGATGAGGCTCCTCTTGCAGCTCTGTGTTTAAATATTTTTGGGGAGGGCTTATTTTCGGGGGGGAGGCTTATTTGAGTGCATGCTGGTGGTGCAACAGACTAAAGCACTGTTAACATCAGCTGCCTGCAATTACTGCAAGTTCAAATCTCACCAGGCTCAAGGTTGACTCAGCTTTCCATCCTTTCTAAGGTAGGTAAGTAAAATGAGGACCCAGATTGTGGGGGCTTATTGACTTTGTATAAAATATACAAAAGTATGAAGGCTATTGCTTAACGCATTGTAAGCTGCCCTGAGTCTCCGGAGAAGAGTGGCATATAAATCAAATCAAAAAAAAAAAAAAAAAAGCCCAATTGGGCTTATTATCAGGGGATGTCTTATTTTTGGGGAAACAGGGTATTAATAAATATATCTGTTTTATAATATATATTGTTAATGTTATTTTTATATTTTTACATCTGTTTTTATATATGTTTTTTACCCATTTGTTATGTTGTCACCCAGAGTTGCCTCCAGTAGATAGGCAACTATATAAATTTGATAAATAAATCCATACATTTGATTATTAAATAAATAAGAAAGAGGAAGGGGCTTCGGATTTCTCTGCCCTCTACAGGCTTGTAAAAACATTACAAGGCAGGACTGTGGGGAAAATATAGCTGAGAAAATTCTGCAAGCCTTTCCGAAGGAAGGCACAAAAGGAGGGGGGGGGGAAATCAGATACTCTGAGGAAAATGTACAAAAAGTCCTGTGTTTGTGTAGCTACTCCCTATAGCTCACATCATAGATGTGGTGCATTAACTCTTCAAAGCATTACACCTGTCCAGATTCATCACTGATAAAAGGTCTCTTCTCAAGCAATTATGGAAAAATGAGAAGCAGTGTCCCTTTCAGGTAAAATACAAACAGCTGCATTTTCCAGCTGCAGAAGAGAAGTGTGGATAAAAATCTCACCCATCAGATTTCAACCTTCATGTCCCTGCAGCATACAAAGAAAGCATCTCCACGGACTGGCGTGGCGAAAAATGCCACCTACAAGAAAATAATAATAGACTATTTATGACGAAAACCGGATTTTTCTCCCTCGCCTTCTTTAAGTTAAATCAGCTAAACTGTTTTAAGCACTAAACGCGCAGCAAATGAAGAGGAAGGAAAACAAAGGTGAGAGATGCACAAACAGATCCAGCAGGAAGATCTCCAGGTGATCACTACGGTAGGCGCCCCAAAGGCAGGGGGAAAATGACTCAAAGAGGGGGCAGCAAGGGCTGGGGAGAGGGCTAGGGGGAAAAAAGGAGGTGGAAAGCCTAGCAGGAGCCACCCAAGACGGTCCTCAGCTCCCGGGAGAGAGGGAGGCTGCGTGAGCGATGGACAGCCGCTGGAATAAGCCGCCATCGACTCAAACCTCCCCGGAAAAATCCGTCGTGCATCGTCCGGGGGAAATCGCCCTCGAGATGCCGAGGCGCAGCCGACTCTTGCTCCATTCCCAACAATGCGCCTTCTTCAGCCAATGCGGATTTTTTGTTTTTTGATTTATTTTTTTTTTGGTCCCGATCCAGGGAGCCTCTGCAATCGCAGCACAGGATTGCACCGCCGCATTTGAGTGCCCGCAACGCAATATTCCGTGCATGCAAAAACGACCGAATACGACCAAAAAAAAAAAAAGAAAGAAAAAGAAGGCATGCAACAAAAAAATCATTCTGCATCTGCAAGGGTCCGGGGCGAGCGCGCGAGCCTAATATATAAGCGCTCGCGCCGAGAGAGAGAGAGAGAGAGAGAGAGAGAGAGAGAGAGAGAGAGCATTGGGCAGCCAATGAGAAAGGGCGCGCGCTCCCGCCCGCCAGCACGCTCCGCTCCCCCTCCCCTCCCCAACTCGCGAAATGGACGCCGAAGGCCCGCCTCTCCCTAGGAACCAATCAGAGAAGCGGAGCGAGCGAGCGAGCCGGCCGACTTCCCGGCGCGCGGGACCGCCCCTCGGGGTGCGCGCGACGGGCCCAGAAGGGGGTGTGTCAGGGAACCCGGGAGAAGTAAAGAGAGAGAGGGAGGGGGAGGGGGTGGGGAAGGGAGCCCGATAATGGCGGCCGGGAGGAGGGAGCTCCGCGGCAGCTCTGAGGTAAAAATAATAATAATAAACATTGAAAGCCACGTTAGGCCTTGTTGGGGAAGCCGGGGCGGCGAGGAACGCCTCTTGACAGGCCCCGGGGAGCATGTCGGGCAGCCGGTGCGCGTCCCTATCCTGGGCCTGTGGAGAGGCGAGACTGAGGCGAGCGAGCGGCCTGGCTGGCCGGCTTGGGCGACCGTGTCGTCGGGCCTGGCGCTGCGGGCGAGAGGCTACCGCTGTCATCACGGCCGCCTGCTTTCTTTCCTCCTCCACGCCCGGCGAGCGGGCCGCTGTCCGTGGACCGTGTCGCGATACCAAAGCGGCGGCTGTCAAACCCGCGGCCCGTCCGCGCATAGCGTGACGCGGGGCTGCCGAGTCCGGTGCAGCGGGTGGAGAATGAGGCCGGCCGGGGACGCTTTTCGAGGCTGCAGCCGGTCGAGCGCTTGGCGGCCGAGGGTCGGTCAAGCTCGGGGACCCGTGGTCGACGGTGGGGAGACTGGACGGGCTCGGGTCTTTAAAGGCGGCGTTGGCTCGTCCTGAGGAGGAAGGATTGATTTCCCCCGCTGGCCTCAGCTGAGAGGTCGTCGACACCCACCATCCCCCCAAAGTAGGGTGTTTTTCGGCTTCCTTCCAGTGGGCCACACCGGCCCGCTCGTCCCCGCTTGGCGGTGCAGGAGCGTTTGTTGGGCCTTTGGAGTCCGCCTTTTGAGGAGGCGTAGATTAGAGCTGAGCCACAGTGCGGCCTGTTCCTGAATGAGTTTCAAAGCCTTTTATTGTCATTGTACATCGTGTTATATGCAACGAAATCGGTTTAGCCCAAGGATGTCCAAACTTGGCTCCTTGAAGAGTGGTGGACTTACTTCAACTCCCAGAATTCCCCAGCCAGCAACTTGCTCATATTGATAGTGCATGCTGGCTGGGGAATTCTGGGAATTGAAGGCCACCACTCTTCAAGGACACCCCTGGTTTAGCCTCTACTGGTGCAGTCCATACAAGAATACAAGACAAGATGAATAATATAAAGAATAACCCTTATAGAGTAGTTAGGGGAAAAAAATAGTCATACGTTTCCGTATGTATGTATGTATGTATGTATGTATTTATTGATTGATTGATTGGTTGGTTGGTTCGATTTATATGCCGTCCTTCTCCGGAGACTCATTAATGCATTAAGCAATAGCCTTCATACTTTTGTATATACCTGCTTAGTAGGGCTTTCGGCCCCCTCCAAGCGGTGTTCTTTTTTATACAAAGTCAGCTTATTGCCCCCACAAACCGGGTCCTCATTTTACCTACCTCGAAAGGATGGAAGGCTGAGTCAACCTTGAGCCTGGTGAGATTCGAACTCGCAGTACTTACAGGCAGCTGCTGGTGCTATTTAACAGCACTTTAGTCTGCTGCGCCACCAAGGCTCTGGTATGTCATATTCTGTGCAACTTGTATATTGCTCTGATGTATGATCTTATATCATGGTATATACATATTACACTGGCACCAGTGAATAAACACGCCTGGGGCTCAGTCGGGATACAAAGGGGTGCAGTGACATCTCCTTCCAGTTTGTGAAAGAGGAAATTGGCTTCCTCTGTCTGGGGTTAATTAATTTCATATCAAAATGTTTGACAATTCTCCTCTTGAACTGAGTACAGGTAGTCCTCGACTTACAACAGTTCATGTAGTGACCATTCAAAGTTACAACGGCACTGAAAAAAGTGACTTGTTATGACAATTTTTCACAGTTACAGCCTTTGAAGCATCCCCATGGTCATGTGATCAAAATTCCGCTGCTTGGCAACTGGTTTGCACTTATGAGGGTTGCTGGGTCCCTGGGTCACGTGATCCCCTTTTGTGACCTCCTGACAAGCAAAGTCCATGGGGAAGCCAGATTCACTTTACAACCAGGTTACTAACTTACCAAGTGCGGTGATTCACTTAATAGGCAAAGTCGTAAAATGGGGCAAAACCCACTTAGCAAACGTTTCACTTAACAGAAAATTTTGGGCTCAATTGTGGTCATAAGTCGAGGATTACCTGTAGAGGAATTTGGGTCTCTTCTACCCAGGTGCTTCTTTTGCTTCATAGGATTGTAATATGCTTGACTTGGCATAGGCCAAGTCTTGGCATATGCCTGTCAGAGAGTTCAAATGACAATGGAATCAAGCCATTTCCTGGGTTGAATAATTTTGCCTCTAAGAAGGTATTTCCATAACAACTATAAGCCTGCATTGTTATCTTTAGAATGTGGTGGGTAAAATTCTAGCCAACCCACTAGAGTGTTCAGAACTGAGCAAAGGTATGAGCAAGAATGTTGATATTTAGTCCATTAAATAGATATACACAGAAAATATGCTTTGCTGTTGTACAGATTGACCCAGTTTATTTACATTTTTATTTTAAAAATGGGTTTATGAAAGGCTATGAATTGCCCAACAGAGCTCTCTGCTCAAATATGCTATGTGTATAATACAGTCTCCTGCAAGGCTTTTTTTCTACATTGGAGGATGTTTAGCAGCGTTCCTGGTTTCATTTGATTATTGTAGTCTCAGCATTGTTTTCCTACTGCTATAAGAAAAAGATAGTTAAAACATATCTTCCCCTATGCTAATTTATTCAATCTTATCCATTTCATAGAAAAAAGCAAGGTGCCCTTTTCTGGATTGTTAAAGTGTATGTGTATGTATCAGGGGTGGGTTCTACTTACCTTTACTACTGGTTCGCAACGGGATCATGTGTGCTTGCTTCGCTTGCGCGCACACCGAGGTTCTGCGCATGCACAGATCGCCTATGATGACTTCCGGGGTGGTGGGCAGAGCCTCCCACCGGTTTTACTATCGGTTTTTGCAAACCAGTCTGAACTGGAGGCAACCCACCATTGGTATGTATGTGTGTGTCAGGGGTGAAATTCAGTAGGTTCTGGAGAACTGGTAGTGGAAATTTTGAGTAGTTCGGAGAACTGGCAAATACTACCTCTGTCTGGCCCCAGAGTGGGGTGGGAATGGAGATTTTGCAGTATCCTTCCCCTGCCACGCCCACCAAGCCACACCATGCCCACCAAGCCACGCCCACAGAACCATTATTAAAAAAAATTGAATTCCACCACTGATGTGTGTGTGTCTGTATACATCTTTGTTTTATACTTTTATGCATCTTTATATGACACTCATAATGTTGCTAAGTATTTTGTTTGCAATGTTTATACATACTACTAAATGTTCAAGAGTAACAGAAGTATCTTCATATGGACAGCCATAATCACTGCCAGCATTATTTACTGTACTGTTGGGGGGTACCAGTAACAAAATGGGGTACCAGTAATGAGGTTTTGTTTGTTATACATACTGCATTTTAGGATATAAAGGTTATTCAAGGTGGCTTGCAAAATATGAAAATGATGCGAACATTCAAAGTTAGCCATAAATAGCAGCATTTATGATAGTTTTTAACTACAGTATTTGGATCAGTAAAACCCCTATTTATAATCATCCAGATATGCTTTCTAAGGAAGGGAATTATACAATGACCTTAGCACTGGAATTGTTTCCCCCTGTTCTCTGAAATGATAGCTTACACTTGCAGCCAGGTGAGCTATGGTAGGCCTTGACAGGTTCATATAACTGAAAAAAGGTTTCCAAGTAACTTTATACCAAACTGCTTAAGACTTTCATTCTAACAGCTAGCAGTTAAATAGATACATTATATTATATGACTGAATTGATATATCATGTTAATAGTTTCTTGACTAAACTAATTGCTTGAAATGTGCAAGATGTTAAGCAATCAATTGTGCTGTATTTTGTCAGTTACAGTAGCTGGATTAACAAAAATTCAAATTTTATTTTAAGGTGTGTGAAAACAAAAATCGGCTACAATTTTTTTTTTTTTATTTCCATAGACACCTTGACCTTGAAGATGGTGAGTAGCCAGCCAAAATACGATCTAATAAGAGAGGTTGGTCGTGGCAGCTATGGTGTGGTATATGAAGCAGTAGTAAGGAAAACTTCTGCACGTGTTGCGGTGAAGAAAATTCGGTGTCATGCTCCAGAGAATGTAGAACTAGCCTTGCGTGAGTTCTGGGCACTTAGTAGTATTAAAAGCCAACACCCAAATGTAATCCACTTGGAAGAATGCATATTGCAAAAAGACGGCATGGTTCAGAAGATGTCCCATGGTTCCAGCTCTTCGCTTTATTTACAGGTAAATGAAGTTGCAGATAATGAAAGAGACATGACATTAAAAGTAAAAAAAAGAAAAAAGGATCAGCTATTTGGTTATCGAACAGTGAAATAGAGATTGCCATTCTGTATAAATACAGAAAAGCAAATACATTTGCTTTTCTGTATTTGATACAGATCTAGATATTTCAAAAATCTTGTCACTAAGCAACATTAAGCTTCAGAGAAACAATAGAGTACACCTCCACTGAAGAACATTGGGTCTTCCCAGGACAATCAATTAATTGTCTCTGAGTGCTTGTTTAAGCAGAAATGTGGGTTATACATTGGGTAAATAATTTTTGTAACATTGTAAGGAAAAATTGCTCCCTCTTGTAAAAGATGCATTAATAATCTTTTTAATAGTTTTATGTGAGACCGCTTCAAAAAAAAAATCAACATTGAGGTAAGAAATAGCTTGATCAACTCTAATGAAATTTGTTTTGTTCTTTGAACTCAATTATATATTGATATTAATAAGATCAAGAATAAAATGCCATTAAAATAATATATTAGAAGTACTCTTCTTAAAATGCCATTAAAAAAACTATAGGTCAAGTTCTTCTCAGATTAATTGTCCTCCCTATCCAGTATGCTACAGAATTATGACAGTCTATGAAAACAGATTAGTTTTATATTTATGCCAAGCAGATTGCCAAAAGAGCTGCTCAGCAATATATATTTCATTAATAGAAATAGAAACACACTTGGAACATTTAAAATTAACTTTTAAAATTAAAAGCTAAAGCCTCTTGTTTCGTAGCTGTGCTATTTTATTGTTTTTTCAGGTTACTCTGGTCACAATTATACAAATAAAAAAGAGTTGTGCTCAGTGGTCCATTAAATAAGTTTTATTACCAAGAGTTAAATTAACATTTGGCGTTTATGCTCATAATGGTAATCTGTGATTTCTACCTCAAATCTATAGTTTGTAGTGTTTGTCATTTAACATATTATGCTAATTCATGGTTTCTTGAACAAGCTACCAGCCCATTATGTGATGTGTCAAATGCAAAAGACCAGGTCCACACATGATGGTCCAATTAAATTGATTTATTGATAAACAGCCTATGCATAGGAATCTTCTCAACTAAATCATTGGTACCTTCTTCAAATTAGATAAGTGTCCACAAATTAAATAAGTGCCCACAGACCTGGGTTTGGACTTGGTTCACTTGTGGCTTTGTAGAGATTCTAGGGCTGATCCTTCTTTTAACTCTGCCCCCAGATTCTGCCACTCCTTCTCCTACATCTTGTTTGTTTTAGCTTAGCATAAATTGAACATGGACAATTATGGTTTATTAAGTTATAAAGGTTTGGCTTACACAACAGCCATAAACCATCAATCATAGTAAGCCAAACCAAACTAACAATATTTTGGATTAGCATAATATGTAAACACAGACTCATTTTCTGTTTTAGCTGGCAAATCAGAAATGAAAACGTAGCTTGGATTAGCTTTATAAACCACATAAGGGCATTTGCAGGAGAGAATGAAATGATGAAATTCATTTAATTTTTGTAGTGCATCATGACATAAGTGATGTAAGAGAATCCCTTATACTAAAGAACAGAAAATGTTGAGCAAATGGAAAATGATATTAAACAAACACAGTTCCAAACTAAGTTTTACTTTTTTGTTTAGAAGCCAGTATTTTCCTAGATTTAGGGGGCCCTTGGACAGTCACTCATGGTTTGACTAATGTGCTGTACATTGGGATTTCAATCATGTTTGTTCAATATATGCATGAAATATCTTTGTATTTTAGCTTGTAGAGACCTCCTTGAAAGGTGAAATTGCCTTTGATCCCAGAAGTGCCTACTATCTTTGGTTTGTGATGGATTTTTGTGATGGAGGTGATATGAATGAATACCTCCTATCCCGAAAGCCCAGCCGTAAGACCAACACTAGTTTTATGCTTCAGCTCAGCAGCGCCCTGGCTTTTCTGCACAAGAATCAGATCATTCACCGTGACCTCAAGCCTGACAACATCTTGATCTCTCAAAGCAGGATGGATGCTAGTGACTTGGAACCTACTTTGAAAGTAGCTGACTTCGGCCTAAGCAAGGTTTGTTCAGCATCAGGACAAAATCCCGAAGAGCCTGTGAATGTAAATAAATGTTTTCTGTCTACAGCTTGTGGCACAGACTTCTACATGGCTCCTGAAGTTTGGGAAGGTCACTACACTGCCAAAGCAGACATTTTTGCATTGGGGATTATAATTTGGGCAATGTTAGAAAGAATCACTTTCGTAGACACAGAGACAAAAAAAGAACTCTTGGGCAGTTACGTGAAACAAGGGACCGAGATTGTACCTGTTGGAGAGGCATTGCTGGAAAATCCAAAAATGGAACTACTCATACCTGTTAAGAAAAAGAAAATGAATGCTCACATGAAACAGCTGATTAAGGAAATGCTTGCTGCTAACCCACAAGACCGGCCAGATGCTTTTGAACTAGAACTCCGGTTAGTCAAAATTGCTTTTAAAGACAGCAGTTGGGACACGTGACTTGTGAAGTACTTTGCCTTTTTGGCAGAAATGTGTGTAACAATGGTGCAGCATTTTAAAGAAGCAAAAACCAGACTAACCCACATTTTAAGCGTCAGGGTTCCATATGTTTTCCCCATTGCATTTCTCTCTTATTTTTGTACGCTAAGCAAAAGTTGCTCTTCTTGTTTCAATATCCAAATATGTATATTTCCAAATTACATCTGTAAAAATCTTTCCAGCTTGTCAGGAAAATTAACAAGTTAGGCAATGGTTTTCTAGGAATACTTTATGGAATATTTCAAACATTCCAATTTCTTACTGTAGAACAGAGGTCTTCAAACTTGGCAGCTTTAAGACTTGTGGACTTCAACTCCCAGAATTTTCCAGCCAGCATAGCTGGGAATTGAAGTCCACAAGTCTCAAAGCTGCCGAGTTTGAAGACCTCTGCTGTAGAATCTTGAATACCCTTGAAGGAGAAGACTTGCATGCTGGTAATGCAAATCATCAGTCAACTTTGTAGAGTAAATGTGTATATATTTATGTCACAATGAGTGATGTAACCCCTTCCAATATGGAAAAGATATGTCCCAAATTTATAGAATTCATAGAATTGAATGATTGTGACACATTCTTTGATGCCCCAGCTTCTGTGTCCGTTTCCTTTTCTTCCCCGTAAAACAATGTGATGACACAAAATGAGGTCTACCGAATGATGCACAAGGAACCTCTGATTCAAGCACTGTAGGAAAAATCTTAGTTTGGAAGGTTGTATTAAATAAACGGATGGCTCATTCCAGTTGAGGTGCCAACACTTCGTTGTGATACCGTACATTGAGCTACTTTTTTCAAGGATAACCAAATGATTATTTGGTAGACCCAGAGTTACTGGTCACAGCTATATTTTGTATTTGACATTATGGTAAGTCTTTTTTGAATTCGGTATTTTTAAAAAAATCTTTAAATCTTCAACTATGGTTCCCTCATGTTTTAGTTTGTCGTTTGGCAGAGATTCATTACCTTTGTTCCCCATACAGTTTGGGTGAAAATTAGAGAAAATTGGGCACTGTTTTCTTAACACATGTACAGAGAGTGGCGTGTATAATTAGTTCAACCAGAAGCCTAAATGTTCATTCCACTACCATTGTGCCACACTGATGTGACATTACTACTATTGCCCACTGTACTGGATCATAACTCGAGTCTGTACTGCTAAAGTGAATCTCTCCCTCTTTCTGTTTTCATCTGAAGCACTCGGCAACCTGCTTCTCTCCCAGGCTACTGGTTTGCAGGTTGCAGCATCTTGTTCATACATACAGTTAAAAAGAATTGCAAGCCTGGTACAATAAGCAAATGAAAACTCAATTTATGAATAAATACCGGAAGATAAATTTCATGAGAGGAAATAGTGTAGTATATGCCTTCATGTCAAAAAAATGTCAAAAACATTTTATTGTACAGGTTGAAACTGTCCTGATGCCATCAGCTACAGCACAGAAACCAGAAAGTGAACTGCCCTATGTTTCCTTAAAAGAAGCACTGTAGAAATTATGTATTAAAATCCTTGTTCGTTATACCTAGAACCTGAAAAGTAGATAAGAAAAGGTATTTGTTTACTCCTTAGCTGCTATGTCCACATTAAACAAGGGGACATTCAAGGGGATATATTTCTAAAACTTGAAAAATATATGGTGTTCTTTTTTTGTTCAGTATAGTTATCAGTCATGTAATATAATCCTTTGGTTGCTAATAGTAAGCAAGTCTCACAGAGTTCAGTGAGGTAAGTATGCAGAGGATTGTTACTTTAATAGTTGATACAATTTTGGAAAAAATCAAATTAAAAATTTTCATTAAAATAACAAACAAATGTCGTATTAACAGAGAGAGATATTTTAAGAGAATTTCAACTAGGGTAGCATATGTCTGGCTTGCAGTGCTAAATTGTTTTAGCTGAGGATCCAGGTAATGTTTGTTCTTTAACTGAGAGGATAAACAAGGGCTTGACTTATATACATTTAGAATATCAAATTTTCAAAGTAATCAAACGTCTTCATTCTTTAAAGCACCATTTGTGCCTTTAGAGACAAGATTGCATTGCATACAGGATGACCGTTCTATGGTTATCCTGTGCTTAATGACATTGTATCTCCTGTCAGCTGAACAGTTACATAATATTTGTGTCAAACAAAAGAATATGAGTGCAGGATCTTGATAGTCCTTATGTATTAGAAAAACCAGCAACTCTCAACCACATATGTCCTAACTAGTCTGATTACTACATACAGTTTCTTGGCAAACAAGTCTTTCAGATTTTTGGATATATTATTTGGTGTACTTTTTAGTGCAGTGCAGAAGCTACAAATAGAGCAAATTATATATTGCCCAGTAACACAGTTAATGTTAAAAGTGCACTTGTTTCTTATTTTAAAAATTGGGGAAACTTCCCTGGTCACTTCTCTTCATGGTGCTTGGTATGTTGGCATTGAATGCCAACTTGATTGTTCCATTTATTACCTACTGAATAATTGTCCCTTAAAATCTGTGTGTGTGATTTTTGTTGTTGCTTGTGTTTGGTTTGATTTCCTGTAAAATCTTTGAAACCAATTGTAGCAGTCACAGAACAATCCACCAGCGTAACATAAAACAAAAAATAACTCATCAGCACTTCAAAAGAGAAAGGAGTTTCAAAGCTTTCTCTTATAAATTGTAAATTTTATTTTGTGAAAATTTTATTAAGGGGGGAAATTATTGTGTAATTTATTGAGTTCATGACTTTTTTTAAAAAAAATAAAAGTCTGAATTGACCCATGAGTTGTAATATTATTTTTTTATTCTTATTAGCTAAATGAATTATATTTTGTTGATTTTTTGAGGACAGAATTTTACTGTGTAGATAGACAGACAGACAGACAGATGTTTTTTGAGCAAGGAGTTGAGTTTGAGCAAATCTTGACATCTCATTACTTTGTCAAGCAGTTACGAAAAATAGCAACTGGTTTACATGGCCTATTTTAGGTGTCAATAAAAACAGCATAATAGATGGACAGTTTTGTCAATTGATCTACAAGCTTGGCTTCACTCTTAATTCTCAAACATTATGTCATTGTTAGGATTACTGTTCTGCTTCTTAAATACCTGTTCTTCAAGTAATGTCCTTATTCAAGCATCAACAGGCACAAAGCTTAATCTGATTGCCTGTTCAGGTTCTGCTAGAGCTACATAGACTCTCTATTGGACATGCTTGGCTATAAAACATTGATGAGTAATTTTGTTCACTGTTCATTTCTGTGAAAGACGTACAGAGTCTAATGTACAGATCCTGATTTGCAACACAGTTCCCAAAAATCAAGTTATATCTATGGTTTAAGAATATATTTTGACTGATAAAATTAGCACTCCCTACTTCTGAGATCTGAATGGAGTTGGTACATCCCACTTTAGAAACTTGGGAATATTTATAAATAAGTAAATTTCGTCTGTGGAACTGAAAACTAGCTTCTTGCAGATCAGGCTTCAAAAACTCTTGCATATACCGCCTCAATATACTTGCCCCTGCACTAAGTTTTGTGAGCTTATCTATACCTGTGGGAGATGCAGCTTTGTGTAGCAGCCTACAGAATTTCAGTGTCATGTTTCTTACTTTCGATTTGTTTGTTTTCTGAGAACATTTCAAACAGTGCTCTTCCCCATTCATCAGCCAATGAGGGCTTCTGGTTGAAACTGCAGCATAATGATAGACAGTTGCCTGGTGTGGTTAGCTAGATAAACTTTTCATAGAGGAAGCTAAACAACATCTGAAGTTTCTGTCCTTTGAACACTTTCCATATGAAAAGTCACGCTGTTCGGTTGACTGCAAAAAACCAAGCAAGATCAGACTTGGTTAGTATTGGGGATAAACCAGAACATTTCTGTTTAGTATTTAAGTCTACCAAAAGATACTAGGGTTAAAGGCTAGACTAGATAGTACTGTAAGAAAAATATTCTGGAAGAAGACAAAGACCAAACATTTCCATATTGCTACTACGAAAACTACAAGGAGTTTTCTGAATGAGTTTAATCTATTTTAAACAGTTTCTCCAATCTGGATGGTTCATTTTAATCATAGTTTGTTAATTCACAAAGACCTAAGCCATAAACCATGTTTATAATCGCAGTGACTGAGTTCACTTCAAATCCAAACAAATAATGTTATGGTTTAAGATGATATGTAGACAGCTTTGTGCAGCCTTATGTTGAAATCTATTTCATCTATAATGAAATCTATGCTCTATTTCCTGGAAATCTTTATACATAGTTTGCTTTCCCACGCCTACTTTATTATGCTACTTTGAGTATTTTGACAGGTCATCTTGTCATTCCTTTAAAAAAAAAAAAACAACCATTTTCTCCACCAAGATAAACTGCAACATCACAAAGCATTGATGTTCCTCTGAATCCTTCAGGCTGGACAACCTATAAAATAAATAGACCAGTAACAAGACCAAATCAAATATTTTCTAGGCATGATAAAAAGAAATGTGAGATCTTTGTTTTTCAAGGTGGCATGTTAAGCAGGCTGGATTCATGCAAAAACTGGAGGAGGAGGAGGAGGAGGAGGAGGAGGAGGAGTCAATAGTGATGTTTTCTTAATTTATGGGTTGAGCAATTCTGGCCAGAAATGCATAAGACACAGGATAATACTGTAGCAACTGGGAATTGTTGCAGTACCTTTCATACCCTCCAGGTGATACATTTCTCCAGAATTTGTTTCAAATTTTATTTTTCTCTGCTTGGTGATCTCCACTGCATTCAATTCTATATTCTCATCCAAAGGACAAATGCAATAACAATAAGTGAATAATCAAAACAAGCTCCATATCCCAGAATACTCAGAGTCACCTATTCTTAAATCTGACATTCATGTCATTTCCGTACAACTCTTGTTGGGGAATCTTAACTTTCAGGGGGAAAAAAACAATGTACTAACATATTTGGCAAGCAGGAAATCTATTTCCTAATCCTGCTCAGGATCACTTCCTGAGAAAGGTTGAGTAAATGACTGGAGGGAAGCTACTTCCATAGAAGTGATGAATTCCCTTTTCCAGAGTCATCCACCCCTGGTGTCAAAATAATAGTAATAATAATAATGGGGAAAGGGTTTTTTATATCGTTTCAATGGTGGCTAGCTGGATTTATGGCACCTATGTCAATATACCTATCTCCTTGACTTACAGCCACAATGAGGACCAGAATTTTCTATTGCTAAACAAGGAAGTTGTTAAGTGAGTCATGCCTGATTTTATTACTTTTTTGCCACAGTTGTTAAGTGAATCATGGAATCTGGCTTCCCTCATTGACTTTTTTTGTAGGAACATGGCTGGGAAGGTCGCAAATAGCAATCATGACCTTGGAATGCTGCAATCTATCATAAATACATGCTGGATGCCCAATGCCTGAATTTTGACCATGTCATCATGGGCATGCTACAGTGGTTGTAAGTACAAGGACCAGTTGTAAGTCCCTTTACTATTGGAATTTTGAACAATCACTAAATGAATGGTTGTAAGTCAATGAGATTGTAAAGGATATGATGATAGCTGAATCTCTTTCCAACTTCCTTGCCTTTAACACAAAGTTATACTCAAGACACAAACCACATAAATTGCTGCTATCAGATACAATGAGATGACCTATCAGTTTAAATGATTTTTTTAAAAAAAGTATTAAACCCACTGATAGAAGACTGTGTCATTAATGGCTATATTATTACTCCTAAATCAAAGGAAACATGCCTTAAATGACAGCTGCTCCAGATCATGGATGGAACAGGATTATTGCATTGCCCTGTTGACGTTCTCCCTCATAACTGATTAGTCATTGCATGCCAGAGAATGATTTAGAATAAGACTTAGAATAAGTTTGTCACTTTAAATGTATAATAATTGACATACATTAAAATGAATGTTTGTTACATACTGCTCTCAAAGGATTACACCTCCAATATACACTACATCAACATGATAAATAAATAAACAAATAAATATGCATATATCCACATACCCACATATATTATATGACACAGAGAAACAACACAGTCTAGTTCGGATGTTTACGTGTACATGGCGAGAAAAACAAATCTTGCAAGTTTACCAGACGGATGACATAGGGAACAAAGCTGTTACAGAACCTGGTAGTCCTGCTAGAAATACTTCAAATGTTGGGATACGTCAATTGTGTTTTTATTTTATTCAAAGTTTGTTCTTTATAAGTAGCATCTCTGACTAGACTTTATTTCTGAAAATTTTCCTACCTTCATACTGGAGATATGCGGATTTCTCTCTGGGTCATTATATAATAATACATGAGGGGCATAGACAGAGGTGGGTTTCAACAGGTTCTGACCAGTTCTGGAGAACCGATAGCAGAAATTTTGAGTAGTTCGAAGAACCAGTAGTAAAAATTCTGACTGGCCATGCCCCCATCTATTCTCTGCCTCCCAAGTCCCAGTTGATCTGGAGGAAATGGGGATTTTGCAGTAACCTTCCCCTGCCACGCCCACCAAGCCACACCCACAGAACCGGTAGTAAAAAAATTTGAAACCCACCACTGGGCATAGATCATACCCTGGCTTAGCTTTACTATCCAAATTGGAAAGCAGATCAAATGGAAAAAAACAACAATAAATTCAACAGTGTTAGTTCACAACATCACTTGCTATGGGTCTGGTGCTTGGCAAGAATTCTAAAAGAAATACTACTTATCATAGATACGACTTATCTCCCAAACTGCTTTGAAACATTGGCTGGGGTAAATTTTCCTTTGTTGTTATCATAAAATAAATTTGGCACCCATTCCACATTGGATTTTCCAGACTGAGGTTGTCTCTGTGCTATGACCCCTTGAATGAACCATACCATTGGGGGGCCGGGGGGGGAGTAGTATGATGACTAAACACACTGTCCCAAATTACTAAACCTCTTTTTAAAAAAAGGAAACACAAGTTTCCAGCATTAAAAATTCCAGAGGTCATCATGCAAGTTATTCTTTGATTTCAGGAATTGACAACTCAGAACCATCACAAAAGAAGAATATTTAAAATAAATAATAATATGTGGCAGATATACAAGCACGTAACACAGTTAGTCTTTGACTTACGACCGCAACTGAGTCTAAAATTTCCATTTCTAAGGAAGACAGTTGTTAAGTGAATTGCATGCCATTTTACACCTTTTTTTGCCATAGTTATTAAGTGAATCATGGCATCGTTAAGCAAGCCTGGCTTCCCTCATTGACTTTGCTTGATAGACGCCAGCTGGGAAGTTTACAAAGGGTGATCACATGACCCCAGGACAGTGCAACTGTCATAAATACATGCCAGTTGCCCAGCTTTCAAATTTTAATCATGTGACCATGGGGATGCTGTAACAGTCGTGGGTGGAACGTTAAAGCTGGTAGGCTAGTAAAACAATTCCATGATAAGTTTTCCGATAAGTCAAAGAGTCCCCCTGAGGGAGGGAGAGGTGGTTAGTATGCTGAATTAACCACTGTGCTACTCTCATTTCAGGACACACTTTTCTGATGGGGGGGCAGCCTGTCAGGCCTGGAAGCCATCTTTTGCATTGGGCCTTCAGGCCTGCTACATTTACTACTGTGGGAAATTGGGAGGGGGGATTGTATGGAGCCAGGGTGATATATAGTCAAAATAACATTCCTTTCTCAGAGAGTCAAGGACAGCTTGCCCTGCACCTGGACAGATGAAAGTGGGAGGCATCTCCAGTTGGGACGCTGCTTTGATTGGACCGTGTGATGGACATGTGGGTGTTGG